TAGCTAGCTTGATGTAATTTCTATTAGAATTCGGTAATATTGATACTGCAGGTGCTGGAGCAGCATTTTTCAACTGTCAATTCTAACTCCTTAGTAGGTTGTAAAATCGATTTAGTTGCTTGTACGCAGCATTAAAAAGAAGAGAAGGAAAGAAAGTGAGAAAGAAAGAAAAAGAGCCAGAGAAATAGAATTGCATGGAATAGAGTATTAAAGTGGAGGTTACATGTTATTATGTGAAATTCTGCTTTGGTTAGGTGCTTGTTTGGACTGTGACATAAATTGTGTTTCTTGAGTCGTAGTCAAATTGAGAAGCAGTATTTCCAGACCTCGCTGGATAAGGGCAAGCGCTCCTTACCAGCTGTGTGTGTCATTCTGTGCCTTGGTTTTCTTCTCTGAAAATACATGTAATAAGACTGACAGATCAGGGTTGTTATAAGAATTAACTAGAAAATAAAATAATGTTGGTGCACAGTATCTGACATAGTGAAAAACAAATATTGTTGCTATTTTAGTAGGGTTTATATTTGAAATCATATTTGAATCATTTGTAATAATAAAGTACTTAGACTTCTCTTATATCAAGATCCCTTGCAAACTTCTACCTACCAAGCACATAGCCCCAGGAAAGAAGCTGGGCTCTCCCAAGTTAGAACAAAGAAGCCATTGATTGGTTTTAGATCTCATGAAATGACTCTTCTGAAACAACAGTCATGAACTTTGGGTTATAAGAAAGAAAAGGATTTTCTAAATTGCTTTGTCTCGTCTTTAACATATTGAGAAGCTGGCCAGACAAACAGTAGTAGAGAGTCCTAACCCAGAGGGGGACGGCTAAGTTAGGAAGAAGATGGGGACGTGGCCGGCTTCTTAGGTACCACGGGATTCTAGGTAGAAGGCGGCAGAGAGGTAGGAAAGCATGGCTTTGGCTTCTCTTTTCAAAAATTCTTGGAGGGAGGGTTCAGTGGGAGAGGAGAAGTATAGAGATGTTCTAGAGAGGTTGAGGGGAATGATGAGTTGAAAGTGGATGTTGTCCTCCAAGGGGCAACTGGAAGCTATTGCCCTACGGGCTTCTGCTTCAACATGAGAGTTATTACATCAAATTAAATTCAGTGGCTTAACATGGTTTTGTACAGAAAGGTCTAAGTTAAGCCACTTAGAGTCTCCTTCAGCTCCTGGATGGTGTGAAGCTATCCAGAAGTTCCTGAGCATTCTGTGGAATGAACTAGAAGGATCTGGCTGTAAAGCAGTTGAAGGACTTGCCTGGCAACTTTGCCAAAGGAGGTTGCCCAAGGGGAATGAAGCCATCCACCACACACCAGCGTCCAACTGAGAGTCACAGTTCTGTGTCAGGGATTCATATTGTCAGTGAAAGTGGAGATGGGGCTCAGTCTCCAAGAGAAAATGGTGCCCCAAAGGACTGTCAGAGTTTAAGTGAACAAAATATGACCAATTATTGCAAAGAGCGGTTTTTAGCAGTGGGTGCATCAGAATGCACAGGGCATGGACAAGTCACTCCTGCAGTATTACCAGCTGTGGGAGTAGGCCAAACCAGGAGAACTGAGAGGATTCCTCATGCAACTCCCGGACTCCTCCTCGCCTAAGATTACCTGTATGTCAGTCACCTTACAGATATCTAGGTAGAAAGGGCAAAACTCTGACAAGTGTTTCCCTGACTCATCCAAGCAGAAACTGGGTTACGTAAAGATGGGTTGAATTACCAAGTGAGACTGAATTGAAAATTTAACTAAAATAACTTTTCTAAACTACCTGATGGGTGTAGGATTGTGAGGAAAACCCAGTCATTTAGAAAGAAGTAAAGAATCCTGGTTTCTTTGCACATTTGAGCACAATGAAAATACATTTCTGATTTATCATTATTATTGTGTTATATCATTATAGCTATGAGAAATGACTTTTTCTAAGTCTTTATTTGCTCCAGTCTCTGTGTCATGGAGTATTTTGAGTAAGAGCTATTTTGCTACAAATTAACAACTGATTTAGATGTCTCTACCCAAAACTGCAAGTATAGAACAAATTCTTAACATATATTAAGTAAGGAAAGAAGAGGGAAGCCAGTCTCTGGGTTTCCATGTAAAATGCTGCCCGGTCCCAGTGTAATCCACAGTGCTGGACAGGAAACTAATGGGAAAACAAATTTAAGTTTACAGAGGACTTTTCTGCTTTGATAGTCCATTGAAACTCAACTATAATTTTTGTGTCTTAACCTTTTGAATTTAGTCTTTTCCCCACAGCTGTAAGGGAAGGATGGTGGTGGAGGTGGAGGGGATATAAATTGTTAAAATGAAACAGGAAGAGACAGTAAAAAGGACCTTCTGTGTTCAGGGCACTGATCTGTCCAGAGTTATTCCTCCTCCCTACAACTGGTAGGATCAATGGCTGTCCAGGAGTGTTGACAAGCAGGGAGAGCAGAGGGATCGCTGACACCCAAGGCCGACAGACCATCATGCAGGTCAGCGCCAGGTCAGCATGTGTCCTTGCCTTTCATAATGTAGGAGGCAAGATGATATAGTGGAAAAAAATGGAGATTATTGATAATGTGCGGGTGGGACCTCTCACTCCCGTTATATAAAAGGGGCTGTAGTGCTTAATATCACCGTCTCCCAGCTGTCTGAACTTCGACAAATTGTGGAACCTTCCTAACTTCAGTCTCCTATAAAATGGGGAAAACAACTGGAGCTTCTCATGAAGCTACTGGAATTTAAAGGTGACAATTCACGTAAAGCATACATCTCACCATCTGGAACTGAGAATGGGTTCATCAGCCAGTGTTACCTATTTAGCCTTTGGGGCAGCTTTAGGCTCGAACCTACCTGACTACCCACACGAAATTCCATAACATACTTAAGTTTTTTGAACAAGATTCCCCTCATTTGTAAAGTGGGACTAACTCACGTTATATAAGTGTATTTAGAGATGATGATAAGAAATACATGTCAAGCTCATCACTTTTCTCCCTTCTTTCCTTGACCCACATCTTCCAGTCAGCATGGATAAGAAATCCAGAAGACCTCAGAAGAGATGCCAAGGGATGACTTTGAGCTCGTGTCTTTGCTGCATATCTAGACTCTCTTGGAGAACTAGCAGGCCTGGGATGGGAGTAGGTGGCAGATGTGAAAGTGATGGGAAGAGCATCACAAGAAGGGAAACCAAGAGTTAGCGCAGAATTAGAAATGAGAATCATGCTGACGACCTCCAGGCCATTTGATACATCACTGTCAGACATATCTTTCTAAAAATTCTGATGTTTCTAAAAATTCTCCAGCTAGTGGCTCTCAATTGCTTCCCACAGAAAGTCTAATTGCCTCAAAGACCATCTAGGCTAAGGTTCCAGCCTCCTCTTCAGGATTATTGCCAGCTGCCCCCCTCCATGTGCCTTTCCTAGTAGGGAAGGAGGGAAGGAAATTAACGAGGAAGTTATTATTGAAATGGAGTTGGAAAGGCTTTGCGATTTGGCAAAAATTAATTTCAGGTAGAGGAAGGGGAGTGATAAAATTAGAGAGAAAAAAAAGTCATGAATGACATTAAGCTGTTTTTTCTTACCAGGTATTAAATTAACTCTGGCAGGCATGAACTCAGAACAATGCGAACGTCCCTTGATTTATATTTCCTAGATTCTAAGACATAACTGACTGTAACATACATCATAAATTCTATAAGAGGGAAAAAAACATCACTTATACGACACATCTTGATTTTAAAAACATATGAAAATATTCTTTTTTTCCCTCCATTCAACAAATATTTACTGAGAACCTAATATTTGCTAATCCCTATTCTAGTAACTAAAAGTAAAATAAAAGTAAAAATTCCTGTCTAATGGAAGGAGCCAAAAGATAAACATAATACATTACTTACTTAGGCATGATGATAACTATAATAGGTAAAAGGTAAAGCAAGGATAAGAGGAATCGGGATTCCTAAGTGTGTAAGGACAGACATTGGTATTTTAAACAGATGAGTGAGAATTGGTCCCACGGAGAGGGTAGCATTTCAGCAAATGACTGGAAGGAAGTGAGAGAGTAAACCCAGGGGTCCTCAAGGAGAGACCCCCCCCCTCCTTTTTTTAAGGAGAGACCCTTCTAAGCAGAGAGGATAACCAGCACAAATACATATCATATATGGTAACATATATGTTCCAGGGTTCTATAGTCACATGAATTATAGAAAGATAGTCCTACCTAGTATATTGCCTTTCTTGGAGGTCAAAATAAGCATTAGCACATTATTCAGGCATAGTGAAACAAAATCAAAAATTTTTTTTAACTTGATTTAACCCACTACATATCTCAAACTTGTTAGGTAATGTAAACTGTTGTGATAGACATTTACCAAGATCTCCAAGGACACCAGTTTTCTGTGACAGAAATGTTGAGTGAGAAAAATAGGATTTCTATAACTGGTATCATTTTCTGAGAAATACCTACGATAACACCCGAATAATCCGTTGATATGAATATCTTTCATATTTCTTTTTGAGCTTTGGAGTATTACCATGTGGTTATTAAGTAGGCATTCAATAGCAATAATGCCGTGATTCCACTTACTGAATTGATAATCAAAATAATAGGGCCACTATATTCTTGGATTTTACACCTCTTCCAGGAGTGGAAATGTTTTACAAGTGTTATTGACCCTACTATTCTGAAAATGTCTTGCAAATTAGGACCTAAATGTTTAAATTATATCCTTGCCCTTGCACAGGTTTGAAAAGTTGGTTCTAGATGAGAACACCTTCTTATTCACTGCTGAAGCAATACATGCTGGCTGTAACCATGCCTCGCCTAACAGCAAAAGAATGTTCGGAAGCATGCCCGGCTAATTGAAACTACAGGGGGCATTTAAGTAGGCAAAGTGTTATTACTCAGTTTCAAATGTTTCCAGGATATCAGAATTACCATTCCCTACTCCTGCAAAAGGCACTCGGGAATGGTAATGGTCACAAGTGTGAGACCTCTGGCTTCTTTTTATGTCTCTTATTCCAGTTATTCCTGACAGACTCAGAGGGCCATCCACAAGAACTAGGATTACCGTGAGGAATGCAAAAGTCTGGTAGTTTCCCAGGCCGTGGGCGTGAGGCTATCATGGGAACTTCTCCAATGTTGGTAAGTTTTGGAAAATCGGCCTCACAGATCAATTGAAGCAGCAAAAGCGTAGTCCTTTTCCATCTAGGACCTTTGAGTCGGAGGCAAGTTACACAGCGTATTTCAGGATATTGCTTTGAAAGATATTCCTCATCTGGCTCACCGACGATTTTAAATGAGATCATTTGCTACATTTGATCATCTTTGCTTATTTCAATTTAATCAGTTTTTTTAAAAAAATAATTTCTAGAAAGCAAATAGCTTAAGTTAGCCATCAGTCTCCTATTTAGGCAGAAGTGTTTGCAAAAAGTGGATCTTGCGAAGAAGCCAGAATTCAGGATCTGTGTAGGCAGGTGTGAGTGAGAGCCTGGAATATACCGGTGAAGTCTAAATTGAATGTTCTTTTAATCTTTCCACCACCCGTTGGAAGCTGGGGCCTACTCCATGTCCAAGACTTGGCCTAAATGAGGGAAGAGATGTTATGGAGCAAAATAGCCTACTTGGACCTTGCTCACATTCTGGTTACTGGCACAGGGAAGTCAGGCTATAAATGTTACAAGCAATAGCAATGATTTAACACAAAAACGTTGTCTTCAGATTTCTACATATTTTCCCCGCTAACCTTAAGAAATAACCTTTTAGGGCACCTGGGTGGCTTAGTGGTTGAATGTCTGCCTTTGGCCCAGGGCCTGATCCCAGGGTCCTGGGGTCGAGTCCTGCATCGGGCTCCTTGCAGGGAGCCTGCTTCTCCCTCTGCCTGTGTCTCTGCCTCTGTCTCTCTGCCTCTCATGAATAAATAAATAAAATCTTGGAAAAAAAAAAAAGAGAAAGAACCCTTTATAAAGTATCAGGGGGAGGGCCCCTGGGTGACTCAGTGGTTGAACGTCTGCCTTTGGCTCAGGTCGTGATCCCGGGGTCCTGGGATTGAGTCCCACAGCGGGTTCCCTGCAGGGAGCCTGCTTCTGCCTCTGCCTATGACTCTGCCTCTCTGTGTGTGTCTTTCATGAATAAATAAATAATAAAATCTTTAAAACAAAGTATCAAGGGGAAACTCTATGGTATTATTATTATTATAGTATTTGTATACGTTAATTTCCCCCCTAATAAATTTTAAGTTCTCAGGACTGAAAAGTGATGATTCACATAATTCCCTTCTTTGAACCCCTTCAATGCCTTAACTTTTCCTTGAAAGTAAACTGGAATATATCCACATTTCTTACTGGGGCCTATCAGTAATGACCTGGCCCCTACTTATTTTTCCATTTCGGGGTCCCTTTCCCTCTCCTTCTCCCTTGTTAGTCTCCAGCTCGCTGGTCTTTCTTTCCACAGCCCTGCTGGCTCCTCCCGGGTCTTATGACCTTAGCACAGGTTGTTTTCTCTGTCTGGAATGCTCTCCTTACCCCCACAATATGCATGCCCAGCTCATTCCCATCGAAAGGTCTCTGTTTGGTCTTTTGTGATTGTCCTAAGTAAAGCTGGTCACCTCTGTTAGTCTCTTGTTTAAACATTTAAACCTTACATTGCACTTACTATAAACTACAATTATTTTCCGTCTATTTATCTGTATAAGGGAAGAGATTATGCCAATCTTGCTCATTATATCTCCAGTGTGTAATTCAGGCATGAGTCTGGCATATCATAAGTGTTCAATACATACTCGTTTAAAGGAAATATGACAAAGTAAATATTTTTCATTAAATTCTGGTTACTCCCAGAAATAAGCCCACACATATATGGTCAATGAATTTACAACAAGGGAGATAGAATACACAATAGGGGAAGTATAGTCTCTTCAATAAATGGTGCTGAGAAAACTGGACAGCAACATGCAAAAGAATGAGACTAGGCCTTATCTTATACCCTAAAGAAAAATGGACTCTCAGTACAGATTAAGGACTTGAGTGTAGGTTCTGAAACCATGAAACTCCTAGGAGAAAACATAGGTGATAAGCTCCTTGACATAGGTCTCTGCAATGATTTTTGAATTTGATACCAAAAGCAAAAACAACGAAAGCAGAAATAAATAAGTGGGACTGCCTTCAACTGACAAGCTTCTGCACAGATAAGGAAACTATCCACACAATGAAAAACCAGCCTATTGAATGGGAGAAAATCTTTGCTAAACATGAATCTAATAAAGGTTAACACCTGAAATATATAAAGAACTAATAAACTCAAAAGCAAAAAAAAAAAAAAAAGTGCAATCCGATATACAAATGGACAGATCTGAATAGATGTTTTCCCAAACAAGACTTACAGATGGCTAACAGGTACATAAAAATATATTTAATATCATTAATCATCAGGGAAATGCAAATCAAAACCACAGTGATGGGTGGCCTGGGTGGCTCAGCGGTTTAGCGCTGCCTGCAGCCCAGGGCCTGATCCTGGAGACCTGGGATTGAGTCCCACGTCGGGCTCCCTGCATGGAGCCTGCTTCTCCCTCTGCCTGTGTCTCTGCCTCTCTCTCTCTCTGTGTCTCTCATGAGTAAATAAATAAAATCTTTAAAACAAACCCACAGTGATATATCACCTCATACCTGTTAGAATGGTCATTATCAAAAAAGATGAGAAATACGAGTGTTGATGAGGATGTGGAGAAAAGAGAACCCTCTTGCACTGTTGGTGGAAATGTAAATTGGTGCAGCCACTAGAGAAAACAGTATGGAGTTTCCTCAAAAAAATTAAAAATTGAGCTACGTATAATCTAGCAATTCCACTTCTGGGTATTTATCCAAAGAAAATGAAAACACTAATGCCAAAAGATACATGCACCCCCATGTTCTTTGGAGCATTATTCATACAATAGTCAAGATATAGAAACAACCTAAATGTCTACTGGTGGATGAATGGATAAAGAAGATATGATATACACACGCGATGGAATATTACTCGGCCATAAAAAAGAATGCAGTCTTGCCATTTGTGGCAATGTGGATGGGCCTCAAGGGTATTATGCTAAGTGAAGTAAGTCAGAGAAAGACAAATGCTGTATATGCTCTCTCTTATATGTAGATTCTAAAAAAAAAAAAAAAAGAATACCTGTGGGGGAATGGGCAAAATGGGTGACAGGAAGTGGGAGATACAGGCTTCTGGTTACAAAATGAATAAGTTACTGAGATGAAAATTACAGCACGGGGAACACAGTCAATAATACGATAATAGCATGTATGGCGACAGATGGTAGCTACAGTGTGGTGAGCACAGCGTAAAGTATGAGCTTGTGGAATCACTGTGTTGTACACACGAAACTAATGGAACACTGTGTGCCAGGTATACTTCAATAAAACAACAACAAAACAAGCCAATAGATAGTTAGAATGGATTCATAGCTGTCAGAGGCAAGGTGAGAGGTGGGGAAAATAGGTAAAGGAGGTAAAAAAAAAAAAAAAGATTGTTTGCTCACTTTGTGCAGTGTGAATTAAGAAGATCCAAGAGTAGGAGCAGGAAATCGAACAGGAGATTAATGCAGTAATACAGAGAAGGGACAGTGGCCATTCTAAACTAGGATCATAGTTGAGAAGTGATTGAGTTTGGGAACAGGTTTTAAAAAACAAAAACAGCCTCCTATTGGAGGTAAATGGCAACAATATGGTACAAAGCTGTGATGACATTAAAGTATATTTAGCACCTGCTCCTGCACAACCCTGACCAATCAAAACGGACTTGGGCAGCAGCCATTAAAAAACCCCAAAACTTCGAGTTTCCTAACTTACTTTGTAAAACTGGCATGACTTTTGAAAAATACAAAAATAATAACCTACAATGAATGGGCTGGAAAATTTTTAGGGAAAAAAAAAGTTTTAAAACTGTGTCTTAGTCATAAGATGTCCTAAGCATTATAGTATACTCTGGATTTTGAAGCATTTGAAATAATCTACTCAATTCCCCTTTTCTCATTTTGCAGATAGAGAAACAGAATCACACAAGTGAAATGATCTGCCTGGGGTCTCTAAAGCTGATTAGCAGCGCAGCCAGAATTAGAATCGTCTGCTTTGGAGGTCATTTCACCATGTCGCCTGTCTGGTAGAGGAATGTCTGCTGGGTGCTTAGAGTCATCAACAATCCACAATTTTAGAATCTCAAAAATAAAGATACTAAATTTTGGAAAAAGCAAAACTCTGTGTGGCTTTGGGGATTTGCCTCTGAAGGGAAGGATTATGCCTTTTTCCTTTATCTTCTCCCTTTTCACTGTTGGAATATGGACGTAATGGCTAGAGCTAGAGCAGCCATGTTGGATCCATGAAATGAAAATCACGTAAGTTGAGAATGGCAGAGCAATCCTGGCTCCCTAAATTATCAGTCCACCTTATCAGTCCTGGAATGCCTGGGGACATTTTTACATGAGAGGGAAATAAACATCTGTCCAGTTTAGGGTTCCTTTATATAAGAGATTTCACAGTTACATGATTTGGTACCCATAAGTGGCATGCTGTCCTAAAAAAAGAGTCTTGATTGTGCAGCATTGGGTGATGGGGGGCAATGATAATAATGGTTAGAAATCTGATGACCCTTCACTAGACCATTGCAAAATATTTGGTAAAATTGTTATCTGTGATATGTTGGAAGTTAGACCAGGTGCCCACAGAGCTTGTAGTTTTAGAGCTGTGTTTATGAGTTGGGCTGTCCCTTGGAGACATTTTGAAGTTCGTGGAGCTTTTTTGGTTGTTACAATAAATAGAGGAGGGAATTCTGTGGTCAGGACCAGGGATGGCAAATGACCTGCAATGTAGAGAAAAGTCACACACGATAAGAACTGGCCTACATCCCTCATGACATCATGATTTTTTTCAGGAATGCAAAGACGCTGTAAATTGAGGGAGGCTTTTGTGTTATCTTACTCCAAACTTTACTAAGAATGGTACACCATTTCAGGAAACCACTCACTGTAGTGCTGCCTCAACACAACTCAACATCCTGGCGTGAGGCTGCATTTGTGGTTATTGTATAACACAGAGATCCTGTGTTAGGTGCAGGCATCTCACTACTTCATAATGTCGTGTGGGGTGGTTGTGCCTGAACATCTGCTATGAATCATCTCAGAAGTTATGTGTGAACACTTCAGATTATGCCCTCCAAAGAAAGCATGCATTCCTCTGCCCTTTTCTCTTTTCCCGCTGGCTGAAGGCAAACATGATAGCTGGAGCTGGAGCAACCATTGGGTCAGGAGACAGAAGTCACAGTTGGGGATGACAGAGCATTTAGAGAGAGTCTGTGTCACTGAGGCCGCACAGCTGCTATCTGCTGCCCATCTAAACCGTTCTGTGAGAGAGAACAAACTTTTATATTGTTTGAGCTTCTATGTTTTGGTCTTTTGGTTGTTGTAACAGCTTAAGTAGATTTTTATCTAATATAGACAGGAAGAGCAAAATAGAAGTGAAATGTAGCACAGGTCACAGAATTTCCTGTTAAGTATCCAATCCCAGAAACATTTTCGATGGTAAATTTAAAAGCCAGCGTAAGTATAATACCAACAACTTGAAAAAGATGTTTAATTAATGAATTCATCTTTTTCTTTCAGTGTAACCAAGAACACAGAACTGGCATACAAATTTTGAGAATAGGTAAAATAACAGGTTCATTCTTATAAGGATAAAATAATTTTAATTAGGGACAGTGTTCCTATGAGTTATAATTCATAATTTGGAAAGGTGCAGACATGTGTGTTTCGGCATAAGCATGATGCTTTTATTCTATTTTGTACATATGTAAATATGTAAATAAGCATCCAGAATCCCCAGATATATACAATACCATGCTGAGTTTCCAAATGTATACAATAGATAAATCTCACAATTTTTTTTATTTTTTATTTATTACAAATTTAAACACAGTAATTTGAAAACAGACTAAAAGGAGGTTAAGGGACTTGGAAATTTTTTTATGTATTTACCAAGTATTTTTTTTACAAATATTTTGTATTTAAAGTGAACGGTGACTTTTTTTTAGATAATCATCCTTAATTCTCATAGTATTGGGCCTACTGGGAAGCTTTATCTTTTCACATAATGCCAGTTTCATAATTATGTTGTGATTTAAGGACCAAATATATTTTTGCAGTGCCTAGCTCAGTGACTTGCATTCAGTGGGCACTCACTAAATGTTTGGCCCCAAGAATGTTTAATGATTATATTCCTGAATGATGTATAGTTGTACTGGCTCCCCTTTTATCATTATACTGAATATAGAAGAGACCAATTAAAATATCCCAACAAAAGAACCCAAATAATTCTATTTTTAAGTCTGATCTTGCCCATTAAAAAAAAAAAAAAAAAAGGACACTTGGGTGGCTCGATTGTTGGGCTTCAGTCTTTGGCTCAGGGCATGATCCCTGAGTCCCAGGATCAAGTCCCACCTCCGGCCCCCTGCATGGAGCCTGCTTCTCCCTCTGCCTGTGTCTCTGCCTCTCTCTCTGTGTCTCTCATGAATAAAATAAATAAAATTTTTTAAAAAAATTAAAAAGCAACCCCCCAAAAATGCACACACACAACAGCCAAAGGAAACCAAGAAAGAAAGGAAAAAAAAAAAAACAACAACTGGAATCTTGATCATCAAGTGAGTTTCGAAGAAAGCAAATTCCGAAGATAGAGATGAGAAGAGAAGTCGTGGTTGCTGATTCCCCATTTCAGTGCTTTGTTTTAGCTGACCACACTTCCTCCCTCCGTGGAGAAAATCGATGCACAATGAAATTATCTGTACTCATCTCTAGTAAATAAATAGCAGAAATCTTTCTTGTTTCAAGACATCAATGTGAAACAATTGTTCACATGAAGGATTTGGCTTGTTTTTCTCAACAGCCCTTTCAATTTCCCACTTCCCCAATTAAAACCAAAGTAAAACATTTTCATAAAGTGAGCAAACAGCAGCCCCAGAGATGAACTACACAACTGAAACATTACTTAGGGGAAATTTCACTCAAATATCTGCTTGACGTATATTATGCGGAAACGACAAGTGTTTGCATGTTCACGCAGACTCGTACTGCAAAAGAAAGAGTTTGGAAGGAATGAAAAACGTAAGGTAGATGAGCAGTGACGTAAGGTACATGAGCAGTGACGACAGCAACTATCAGGAGGAAGCCTGTAGTTAGCAGCCGAACGTACCACCCTTAGATTGCACATCTGAGACCCCTGGGCTTGCATCTGCGCACACGTCAAATCTGTGCAAGTTATGACTCTACTTACAATGTCTGTATGTACAGTTAAGGAATTTAACAAATTATCTCTGAAAGTACACTTAGAATGCGGCTGATGATGTTGTTATATGTGTAGAATGTTAGGCTTTTTCTGGGTATTTTACACCCTGCCTCTCCAATTTGTCCTTAGATTTCCAACCTACGTTGCAGGAACTGTATCTAATTCAGTGTGCTTTGCACCAGCGGCATACTACTTGCACTAAATAACTGTTTATCATCGTGGAGTGCCTTAAAGTAAACACAGCACAATTTCAGCTGCCAAAACCCTGCTATGCATTTATATGTTGCTTTTAAAAACACATAACCCGGAGTAAATCACTTAAACATGGCCTGCTGTCCCATTTTCGGTCTGCGGTCTGTTTCTACTTTTCCTTCTCCCAATGTTACGTATATTTGCACAGCATCTCCAACTTTATGTCTAGATCAGGCCATTTTTTTACGACAAGTTCAGTTCTTTGAAAAGATAAGTTTTTGGTCTCTGATAAAACTTTAGCATTCGGAGACAAGGCTGAAAGGAAAAAAAAAAAAGGAAATGAAAGGACAGGACAGGATGGGACCCGCACACTCTTACACTCACACACATGTGCACTGAAGAAGGGTGTATCATTACAGAGCAACATGCCAAAGGTAGAGGCATTTAGCCAAGGAATGGTTAATAACAGATCTTTAATTTGAAAAAGATTGGAAAACCAAAGCGATTTTTTAAATGTTTTAAAATCACTCTCACATCTTCCTTTGTTGCTTCTTTTCACTTCTTTCAAAGAAACTTGACAGCTCTGGGAAAACAAAACCCTTCAACAATTGTCGAAGCTGAGAGTCCCAGTCCTCAGAAAAAAAAAAAAAAAAAAAAAGAAAAAGAAAAACTCTTTCTACACTGGATACACTTAGAGCAGACCTGAATGCAAGTACTAAGCAGCAGGTTGGTAACGGCGATTTCGAATCACTAAAATTCATCCAGAGATGCCCAAAAGCTTAGAACCAGCAAGCCCTGATTGTGGGTTAAGAGAGAAAAAGGAGAAAGAGAGAGAAAGCTTCTCAAATGTATGCTCTTGTTATTAAAATTTTAAGAAAAAAATCACAGCTTTCACCCAATATCTGAAATAATGAAGAATCTTTAAGAATAACTCTCATTTGATCCTCTAACCTTTGAAAAAGCTTTTAAGACTGGCAGCCTTTTTCTGTCCTTACCAGACATTGAATATTCTCAGGCATAAACTATGTAAAGTACCCCTAAGATAGGACATGACTGTTAGAATCCTAGATTTATAGAAGTAGGGTCAGTGGGGTGTAGCCAGAAACTCATGAGTTAGAGAATCAGGAAACCTTGCTAGGTATCTGCCTCAAACACTAATTCAGTCTAACTTGAACAAGCTATTTAAGCTCAAAGTGTTTAAAGAGTATTTATTTATTTATTTATTTATTTATTTATTTATTTATTTAAATTTATTTTTTATCAAAAGATCGAGCACAAGCAGGAGAGGGAAGAAGGGGATCCCTGGGTGGCGCAGCGGTTTGGTGTCTGCCTTTGGCCCAGGGCGCGATCCTGGAAACCCGGGATCGAATCCCACGTCGGGCTCCCGGTGCATGGAGCCTGCTTCTCCCTCTGTCTGTGTCTCTGCCTCTCTCTCTCTCTCTCTCTCTGTGACTATCATAAATAAATAAAAATTTAAAAAAAAAAAAGGAGAGGGAAGAAGGGCAGAGGGAAAGGGAGAAGGAGACTCCCCACTGAGCAGGGAGCCTGACACGGGGCTCCATCCCAGGACCCTGGGATCATGACCTGAGCCGAAGGCAGAGGCTTGACCAACTGAGCCACCCAGGTGCCCCCAAACCTCATTTCTCTTCTCTGAAAAATGGGAATTGTATTATTTGTCTCGTTTGAGCTCA